GAACCACGTGTGATGATTGACAGGTGATAAGATCAGAATCACTTTTCAGTTTACTCAAAGGTCAACTCAAATCAGATGCTTCATTTCTTGCTTCTGCCTCGTTCATTCGTTCAGTGGCTGTGACCCGTGTTCGTTGACTGTCATCCGTGTGCTGACACTTTGCTGTGAGTGTGGCCTACAGTGGGAAATGCCGCATGTAAAGGACAGCTCCGGTCCCTGCCTGCCCTAATGGAGGTCATCCCTTAGCTCAAAACTGGTCTTCAGAAGGATGCAAAACAAACTCAATCCCATCAGTTAGAATAAAAGTGACGTGTCCAAAAAATAATCAGAGAAACACGTTTCATTCTCCATGTGGATCAAGGCACAGAATGGATGAACTCAGGTGCCAGTTTTTGCTGACCGCCGAAGTAGAAAAATGAGGCTATTTCAGACCTTTGAGGCCCTTCAGCTTTTGGACCCTTGGGAGCTCCACTCTCAGCCACAGCCCCTTAGTAAGTAGAATTTTTGCTTTTAAAGAATTGAGAACATTAAAACATAGGCATAATTTAGCTTTTCAAATTATTGGACTGTGAGTAACTCAGTTAATTTAAAATTGCCTGTGAGTTCTTGGCAATCCCAGGGCATATTTAGAAATCCTTGCAAAGTGAGAAGAATCTAACCTACAAATTGTTTTCAAGTGTCATAAAATAGCTCTGAGCTCTAAATGTAGCAATTAATGAGGCGGACATGATAGTTGTTTCCTACACATTTGTCTAAATGTTTATTAATTATATTTTTCAGTTTTTGTGTTTCCTACTTTGGAGTAGTTTTTTTTTTGGGGGGGGGGAGGGGGCTCTCAAACATGCCTGGGCATTCTGCCCCGTAATGCCTCATGGATAAAACAGCACTGCATCCAGAACTCACAGGGCAAAAGACCAGTGAAATTAAGAAAGGTGTCAGTTCTTTTCCACTCTGTGCAAAGTTCCTACAGAACTAAAGAGAGAGAGAGAGAGCCACGCACTCCAAGGGAACAGCCCCTGTGTTAGCAGTAAAATATTTGCATATCTGATGCACAATCAGAAACACAAACAGGGCTGAGGCCCTTCAAAACAAACTCTGAGAAAGGAAGGACAAACAAGGGAGAGGAGAGGAACTAAGCTTGTAAGCCACACCCCCCCACCTCCCCATGGGTCCCCTGCACCCCCCGCCCCAAGCCCTGGGCGAGGTCCTTCCTGCATGTTGTTCCACTGACTTCTCACAAGAACTCTGTGAGGTGGTTGGGATTGTTCCCATTTTACAGATGGAGAAATCAAAGCCTAGGGAAGTCTAGGAACTTGCCAAGGGATTGACAGCTATGAAGGAAGAGAGCCAGGGGTCAGCCTAACCCCAGAGCCCATGCTCTTTGCACAATACTCACACTGTCTTATTTCATAAAAGGGTGGGGATGACATGATTATCTTTCTTTTTCTAACTGCTGATATAATGAGTGATGCATGGCACTTAGTGTGATTGGGACGAGGACAGGTGTCTTAGGTGGTAGAAGCTGCACCTTCCCAAAGAGCAAAGTCAAAGTGATAGAAGGCAGAATTTTTTTTTTTTCCTCCTATATGATTCATTCATGGAAAAAACTGTGGCAGATAAAACTCCCGAAGCCCACAGTCCGTAGCTACATCAAGGGAATCTTTCACTATGGAAAGTCCCGAATCACAATCAGATTGGAACATATCCAAACCCCCATCATGGTCACTTCACAGTAGGTTCTCAAAATGCAGTCCTGGGTCACCTCCCCCCAGAACTAGCCAACGAGCTCACCCCAGGGCAGATTCCCAGGCTCCAGGATTAGAATTTCTGGTGGGAAAGGCCTGGAGATCTGCATTTCAGTTCACCTTCCCTACCTCTCCAAATGATTCTTATGTTCTCTAAAAATTTTAAACTACACTTTCATGCTTTAGAACAAAATCTACCTCCTCTTCCTTTTCTTCTTCAATAGCTTTTAAGGACTATAGCTTAAACTTCCAGAAATGTCTAGTCCTGGGCTTACCACCATTTTATAGATAGGAAAGTAAGGAGAAAAATGAGTACAGGGCTATTCACCAAGTCAGCTACAATAAGAACTGGAAAAAAAAAAAAAGCCTGAAGACAAAACAAAAACAAAAACAAAAACCCATAAAGCCTGCCCGATCCCTGCTATACTGAGATGAACTCTTTGGGCCTTGGCTTAAGTCATTAGTGTGATTCTCACCCACTGAGAAGATCCCCTCAAAGAGGAAGATGTTGATAGAAGTTTTTTCAGCAACTGTTATCTAGAAGGTTAACGTGACTTTTTAGCAGCCAAGCCATCTCCACTAAGAAGGAGGGAGGAAGGAAGGAAGAAGGAAAGATGGACAGAAGGTGAAAGTGAAAGAAATGGGAGGGAGGAAGGAAGGAAGGAAGGAAGATGGACAGAAGGTGAAAGTGAAAGAAATGGGGAGAGAGAAAGCACAAATACGAGAGCAAGCAAGAGAGGTAGGGAGGGAGAGAGAAAAGAGGAAGGAGAAAGGAAGGAGGAGAGGGAGAGGAAAGGAAGGAAGAGGTTTTTCCTCCTCACACTCATGGATGTTTGAGCCAGTGGCCCAGTGGACATGATGGAGGGGGTCAGCGGCACTCAGATGACTTTCAAGGTGAGGTCAGGATATGCTGCAGAACACTTGGTGTTCAGCCTGGAGGAGCCAGGGCCATTCTGTCCTGCCCTTCTTATCCTTCCGCCATGTTGCCACCTCGGACCCCCCCTGGCTCAAAGCTTAGCACTGCAGGCATTATCTAGTTCTCAGTTCTGGTAAAAGTCTCCCCTCTGTAAAGGCTGGCAGAGGTCCAATTCCGAAGGGCTTCCTCCAACGGGAATCACCCACCTTTCGGTAAACATAAAGTGTTTCACTGATTTTTGAATTAGACAAACAAACAAAACATTGAGTTCAAGCGCACACTCCAACCTCCATCGAAGGGAAGGTGTGGTCCAAGTCCGTTCTCTTGAAAAGGACGGAGGGTCAAGGAGGGAATCTGCCGTACAGTGACAGCACATAAAATGGGAAGAAGTCCGAAGTACTTTGCAGACTTGGAACTAAAAAAGTTGAGTCTAAAAAGGAAAACATGTCACCTTCTGCCAAAATAAACTGTGATGAAAGTTTAGACCCCACCACCTTTCAGCCAAGCATTTCCTGTTCTGGTCCCCCTCGTCTGCCTCACACTAGTTCCGAGGAGGGAGAGCTATTTTTAAGGTGCAAACAACCAGGACTAAGAATGAGAGAAGTTATTTATTTATAGTTACACCTTTCAACTGTTCTTTTTTTTCCCCCTCTGGAGACAGAGGCTTGGTTTGGCTTTCCCTTTGAATCTAAAGTCCCTTGGGTAAGAAGGACTCTGAAAGGTCATGACGGAGTCACTTTGCCTCCAGACAGTGATCATCGTCCTGGGCAAAACAAGTCACCTTCTCTTGAGGAATTCCTCCTCGCATGCATGCGCCTGCAACACAGATGCTCTTGAGCCATGGTTGGTCATACGTACCTTTTGTATAAAAGGTGATTTGAAAATACATTCCTGGTTTTGTTATTTTAAGGAATCCAACAGTGATTCTCCCCCTCCCATTTTTTGTCCAACAGAGAATTCCATTATCATGAGAACAGATATTCCGCAATTGACGTGAGTGTGTAAATTCAGCCTTTGTATCAGATTTTCTCCAGGCAGGACACAGGCATATGTGGTGTTCTTGGAGCCAGCAAGCTCCTTCTCATATCTAACTGCATCTTCCCTTATTTCTTATTCCATTAAATCAGTCCATTCTTGATACCAAACCTCAAAGGACTCGTTGCAGACCCTTGGAATTTGCCCATCAATGAAAGAGAAAAGCCCTCCCTCGTAGTGCTTACGTAAACCTGATCTTGGTGTTGGCCAACATTGACTAACATTATTTTCTTTCCAGGTGTTTCCACCTGACATTACAGTGTTTGCTTGTCTCACCACTACAATGTAAGCATCACGAAAGCTTTGCTCACTCCTTGGTTCATCGCTGTATCACAAGCATCAAAAATATACTAAATGAAGGGTGCCTGCCTGGCTGGCTCAGCTGGTTGGTCGAGCATGTGACTCTTGATCCTGGGGTTGTGAGTTCGAGCCCCAGTTTGGGTGTAGAGATTACTTAAAAAAAAAAAAAAATCATGTGCTCGCTTCGGCAGCACATATACTAAAAAAAAAAAAACAAAAAAAACCCAAAACTTAAAAAATATACATATACTAAATGCTTAAAATGAATTTGATGAACAAATTTCTATTTATGTCAAATTGTTGAGACATCTGGAATTATACAGAGTGCTGAAGAGGTCCTCCCCGCCCCCCTTTCTTTTTAACATAATGGTTTCCTAAATATTTTAGCTGTACTGTTTTCATCCACTGCTTCCGGCATTATTACAGGAATTACTTGAAGGACAAGAGGATGGCTCTTTTCTAAATTCACTGGTGTCCACATGTTTTAATTGGACAACCTTGAAACTAACAACTTTACAGAAAAGTTGGTTGCCATGACCCACTTCCAGCTTCTTTGCTCCCTTTACTTCTGGTGGGTTCTTTGTGCAGCCAGGTCAATGGGGTCATGATTCAGCTTTTAGTGAAAGAAGAGTTCTTTCTGCATCATTGTACTTGTGCGAAATTTGGTGCCTTGTACAACTCAAGGAGGAAACAGAAAAGACTGGAAACTGAGTATAGAACCTGGGCCAAAAAGCAGATCTATCAGAAAGAAACAACTTAATGGTCCAGTATGATCTGGAATGACACAAGAACTTATAATGACATGGGAACAAAGTTTTGCTGACCAATGAATGGAAAAATGATGCAAAACCAATGCCCAAGTTCAGGTATTTGGGTATACTTACTCTTTGGAAGATATATTTCCTTCTTGAGAGTTTCAAGCTTTTGTTCTGGGAATATTTCTACCACTTTGAGTGCAATGGAAACAAGTAAGCAGAGACAAATCCAGTCGGCCGCTCACTCACCTTTTTGCTTAAGTGGGGCCCGTTGGCTCCCCCAATGCTTCTCTGCACTGATGGTGGTACTTGATACACATCCTGTTCCTGGGTACCGTGGCTAGTGGGGACCTGGTAAATTCCCTGATGTTGGTAGGAAGGCGGCACTTGGTAGATGGTGTCTCGAGGAGCACCGTGTGGGTTTGGCACTTGATAGGGCTTCTGTTGGCCAAAGGTCTGGTGCATTAGTCCAGAAGTAGGCTGGTCTTGACTGGAGGGGGTCTCCTGAATGGGGCCAATCAGAAGCTTCACCCGATTGCCAGGGACAATGCCTTGTCGACCGTGTAAGGAGCAGAGCCACCATCCTTCCAGTCCTCCTGTGTTCTGCTCTATGACAGTCAGGATGTCTCCCTTGCGGAAGGCCAGCTCCTCAGCACACTCAGGGACATTGTCGTATAAGGCCCTTGCCATAAGATTCTAGGAAGAAGAGAACAGAGGGACATCATGTTAGAATGCTAGCTCAGTCCTTTAAACACCAAGAGCCCTTGCTCTTATGGAGAGGCAGGATTCCTGGAAGGGAGCAAAAAACAAATGGGAACAATAGCCTGTAAAGAGAAAAACAGATGGTGCAGACAAAACACAGATACATACGTCCTGTGTCTGCCACCAATGACATCAGACTGCCTCCTCTGCGAAGCGTTCTTTCCTCTAACACCAGATGCTGTGCCAAGGAATTATGAGTAGCACTGGTAAGGAGTTCACTATACAGAAACACTTTTCTTCCTTTCTTAAAGCCAGCTTAAAGAATAAAATATTCCAAGACCTTCAGATGTGCCACACCAGACATTTCTCAAGCTTTGCATACACTAGAGGCAGAAAGAGTCTGAGAAAATCCCAAATAACCAACGGTACACATGGCATTAATATCTGGTGTTCAAATGGAAACAAAAGTAGACTATATATGCCTTGGCAGGGCTTACAAATTCTTGTTCTAAGCTGATCAAGAAGTCCTTGGATACAGAGAGAATCGACAAGCATTTTTTCCATGATAATCAAGCATGGGTATAGGGTGGCCATAGTCTACATCTCCAGATTGGATGGCTGGGAGCTACGAAGAATTTGTCACCTGCAGGTAGATGCCACCTCTTTCTTCTTTGGTCTTTGATTCATACCTTTCCTCAAGGCCCCTCCTCACCTGGCCACTTTTCCCCCCTACTTCTTGAATCTCACCATTGACATCAGAAAGGCTCTGCCTTCCCCTTTCATGGGCCCAAAACACTCTCTTCCTTTGTACGAAGGCCTGTCTGGCACATTCAGTACTAAGCAGACAGCCAAAGTAGGCATTCGGCAGAGAGCGGGCAAGCAGTACGTGCTGACATTCTTGGAAGCCTTTCAAAGTCTCCGAAGAGTTCATTCCTTGGCGTTAGTCATGTTTCACGGTGTGATGGCAGCCATTACCACGCGCCCGCTACTTCCCAGCACACAGACAAGTCGGGATGCCGTAAATTCATCACAAGCACTTGGAAAACTAAAAGTGATCTCTCTGCTGCTTCACTGAAGTGTCTGCATGCACTTGAGTCACTGGGACGATGATCAGTTGTGGGGGGAGGGGCTGCCTATCGGGTGGAGCATGTTTGGGATTTTACATATTTGTGGAATTTTTGGCAGGTGGTGTTTGGATTTCTGCCCCCCCCCCCAACATTTAATTTGCTTCTCTAGAAACATGGACTTGATCTGCCAGCCTCGTGCTTTTCATTCCTTTAGAACTGACGTATATTAATCATCTCCCCCCTGTTCTGTGCCCCATAACCACAGTCCTGTGCTGTGTCCTGGGCCTCCCCTCTTGGGGCAGGGGTGCTGCGCTATGTAAGGCAGCTCCCCTCTAGTCAGTACCTGGGAGGGGGGTCCTACTCTTACTGTTAATCCTTTTAGGGCAACTACTCAACCAGAGAAAAGGAGATCAAGCCATAGAAGTCAGTGCCCAGGGAGTGGGATGATGCTTTTTAAGAATAAGGTTGAAGTTCTTGTTCTTGACAATTCTGAGATCCATAAAGTCTATCATGTAGACAGGTGAGCAGTAAGGAAAGCTCAAGGGAAATGGAGGGGTTTGTGATTGAGCTGGTTTTGCTGAGTATTTATATGCTAGAAAGCTTTGGGATTTTTCCTAACAAAAATTCACATACATGAAGAGAAAATCACACAGCATCCCTATCCACTTAAGGATATGTCATAATCCTAAAATCTGTTTCTTTTCTTCCATCTTTTGAGTTGTATGACTTAAAAGAAAAGTCATAGAGTTATGGACAAAAAGATTCTGATTCTTTGCACCAAAGTAATCTGAGGGAGATCGCTCCACAGGAGTTGTGTTGTGATCAGAGTAGGGAGAGAGCTGAGGGTTTTGGTCTTTGTCCCTTGCTCTGGGGCCCCATTCAGTGCTGGGAATGGCTGGTAAGAAAGCCCTGGATGAAATCCTAAGTCAGAGTTAGGACCAGTTCTGTGGAAGCTGAGGGTGGGTGCCGGTACGATTCTAGCGGCCATGAAGAAGGGAAAGAAAAGAAACAGAAAACAGTAGAAAGGCAAGGCACTTCCGACCTAATCAGCACAGATAAGCTGGAGGCATGTGGAGTTGGGTCCCTGCCATGGGACTGCATGCGGCCCGAAGCAGGGCACCGGACCTGCTTGATGCGGGGCGGCTGGAAATCCCATGTGAGAGTCATTCTGGATGTTCCTCGTCTCCCATGCCAATGACCCTCCCACCCCCTGGGAAGCAGCATGCTAATACTTCAGACGTGCCCCAGGAGCTGTGAGACTGCTTTCCTGGCTAACCGCAGCACCCAGGGGGAGTTCTCCTGATGGTGGTCCGTGATTTCCCAGTGGCCCTCCCTGCTACCCACGGAGGTGAGGGTTTAGGAGGAGAGCTCGCTTGGCATGACCGTCGGGGGCACGCACCCGGTGCTGGCCTGAGGCCTCCCACGCTGACAGGTATTCTCAGCCGTGGACTTACTATCTCTGCAAGCTACAGAGTCTGCGTCTACACCCACGGCTCTCCCACACAGAAGGTTACACGCACTTCCAGAGACCTTCAGAGAACACCTGGACCCAACCTCCCTGTTTTACAGATAAAGAGACAGACCTGGGGAGGCCAGTTAATCATTCGCCCAAAGCCCCACTGCTGGTGTCAGAGACGAGAATTCTCTTTCCAGAACGCTAAGCCATCTTAGCTTGACTACACAGTGTCCTCCTAATGGGGCTCAACTCCATTATATAGCGAAGTTCTGAAGACGACGATTCTTGTTACGTCTATAGAATAAATAGATTATTTCCTTTTGTGCCTCCATTTCCCATGGGTAAGATGGGGGTAAGGGTAAGGGCACCCAGCTCACGGGTTTACTGTGAAAACAAAATGAGTTAATCCAAGTCAAGTACCTTAACACGGCTGAAGGCTTAGGAAACTATTGTGACAACTTATTAATTTGCTGGATGGCTCTTTGGACTTATGCTGTCTCCCCACTCAGCCTCCAGTCAGTTCTCCATCAAGGGCTGGGTGCTGCTCTAATTATGCTATTATATATTATATATTACATTTATATTACATATAATATTACATATACATATATAATAGATGTATTTCCACTATATTTTATAATATAATATTTATTAATTTTATATTATTTATTAATTTATGAATCATATATTCAATATAAATATATATTCATACACAGCTGATATTTCTCTTGCTCACAATGACATATCAGAACTGTATCTTGCAGTATTTCTCTGAATTAATAACGAGTCATGGTCCCTGCAACCTCTTGTGGAATATTTGCCTGCAAACAGCAATAATTAAACTATTCATTGCCCTCAAGAGAGCAAGACAAAATATTATTATTATTGCTATTACTCTGATGAGTCCTGGATATACCTCTTTAGATTCCAGCAGAGTCCAAGCTATGAGAAAGTGGGGGAAAAATGGGTGAGGTGCTTGGCTTTTGAAAACGCTTGGTGCTTTGGGGGGCAAGCGTTCATCTGAGAAGATAACAGTAAAATTAACGTCAGCCAGAACACCAATCATCTCATTCAAAAGTGCATGGAGTTAATAGGCAGATCAAGAGTTAAGTGGCCTGGCTAGAAGAAGGTGGAGGGATCTCCTCCTTCTGGGTGGGAGGTGTGATGTCTTAAGGCCACAAAGTCAGAAGGGTGCTTATCTGACTATCTTAGAAAAACCCAGGAGAAGGGGTTTGTCTATTCAAGATGCCTCTTTCTCCCACCCGCCCCAGGATATTTATCTCTAGGGCAGAAAAGGTCAACAGAGAAACAAATCTAGGAGAGATAAGAGAGCTAAGTCATTCTATAGCCAGTTGGATGGTGAGCCTGGGAGAATGGCAGTTAGAACTGAAGCTAGGGCTTGGCCAAGGGCCAGAACAGTTGGGGCACAGAAGTTCAAAGCCAGGGGAACTTCAAACAATTACACTCCAGCTCCTTCACCTTACAAATGAGAAAAAAACGAGCTCAAGAAGTTAATGATTTGCCAAGCCACCTGGCCAAAAGGTCACAGAGCGGAGGCAAAAATTCAGGCGTCCCACCTCCAGCTCCAGAATCGGGACAGTATTTAACAAAGTCAAATGCATGGACTACCAAAGCTGTGCTTCTAATTATGATTGGGAATCAGCATTAGAGTTATAAATCCTCTTTGAGGGGACCCTAATTACAGTAGCCTCTAGCACTGATCCCCCCGCCCTGGTCTTTCTTGAGGCTCTCTTGGATCCCGTGGTTCCACCTCTGGCTTCTTCCCGTCTCTCTGTTCTCATGACCACTCATCTACCTGCTTCTTCACAGACTAATCATGTTCCAAAGAGATCCCTCCCTCCTTTGTTCTTTGCTCGTCTTTGCATTCTCAGTCTCTAGAGGAAACACACAGATAATAGAACCATAGCTCCAGCCGAAATACTTCTGCTCTCCAGTCCCATATCTCCACTGGCTAATAGGTGTCTTCTACTCTAACTGGCCAAGTGTAAAAACCCCTTTCTCCTGCTTTATCCCTCTTAGTTCGCAGCATGTACACAGCTGCCCAAGATAGGAGGCTCAGAGGTTTGCAGAGTCTCTTCCCAACCTGGAACCCAATCCACTTGGCCCCTGTCTTCCCCCTCACTGCCTCTCCTAGTTCAGGCCTTCAATAATCGTGTAGTGGGAGCCTGGCAACTGCTTCTCAACTGACCTTCCTGCATTCACCTCCTCCCACCTCAAAATCTACCTTCCACCTTCTCCAGAAGAGTTATCTTTCCAAACCTATCTGCTGGTTTCCCTTTCCAGTTCTCTGTCATCCTGTTTCTCTCAGTATGACCTGTCATATCCCGTTTAAGACTGTGAGCTCCTGAAGTTCAGGGAGGCTGACCTATTCCTTTGGCCCTTCCAGAACTTGAGCCCAGTGCCTGAAGCAAAAATGTACCTCATTCAGTGTTTGCCAACTTAAAATAGAT